CTCATTCTGCTTACACGGCGGCACTTGTATTGTCTCCGAAAACAGGGAATTGGGTCCTAAGTGCGAGTGAGTAGTAGTCTACCAGACCTTTACTCTTCATATTTGTCTTATTTGTCTCACAATTATTTACATTTATATCCATTTGTTGTTATTTTATGTCATATTTGTTTGTTTGAAACTTTCAGTTGCATTAAGGGTTGGGTTGGCCCGCGATGTGAGCACAGTATTGATTGCCATGCATTTTGTTTGAATGACGGCACTTGTATGCCTTCGGATGATTCCGATAGACTGCCCGTCTGTTTGTTAGTTCGCGTTTTGTTTGCATTTTTTTAATTACCAATAACTGAATGCAAGAATAATCCCATTAATGGTTATCTCTGTATCTGACGTATAGCTGCCCTCTGGGTTTCGACGGCCTTCGCTGCGAGAATCTGGTACTCAAGACACCAGACTTTGATTCCCGGGAATCGTACTCTTTGGACGCAACGACAAAATGGATATTAATAGCTGTGATACCCGTTGCCATTGTTTTAATACTCTTTTTGGTTGTTTTCATCGGCGTCTTCACCTTCAGAATCCGTAAAAGGTATGAATAGTTAGCTTCAGTAGTGTTGGCAACGTCTGAGTGGTGTCTCAATTGATTTGGTTGTGTTTTGCAGTAACCGAGCGTTTCTTCACCGGCGAATGCAAGAGAGCGGCGCCAACGTTGAGATCAGTAATCCTATGTTCGGTGGCGACGACTTCGACGATGACTTGAGTCCCAGCCATGCCTTGAGCCGTACGTTCGCTCTGGAGGTCAACGATAAGGTATTCGTGAGATTTCATTAGCGGTTGATATTTATGTTGATTTTAATTCACAAATTTTGTCCATTTTTTACCACAAAAAGAGTACAAATTTCGCGAATCCTTTGTATGAATTCCAACAAAACACTGACGAAGAGAAGCGCAATCTTCTGATCGCCGACAATGAAGTCAACAGTAATGATGAATCCAAAGACGTCTACAACGATAGCGAACATCCATTGGCTTAGGTATCGCTTCCTCAATGTCTGGACTCTCAGCTCATGTATCGATATTTTCGTTCAACTCAATAGTGGTCTCAGAAATTCTTCGCCTGTTTTTTAGCGGACGAAGAGTTTAGTCTTTATTTGTCGTGTTTTTATGATAATTACGACTAAAAGAGTTATTTTTAATAATTATTTTAGACTTTAATTGAAAGCATTTTACCGGTTGTTTATGTAATTTAATGAATGATTAGGAATTTGTAACGATTTGAATACCAATGACTGCTATTCAACACAAAAAAGTCACTTTTGAAACAACTAAACAATTAGTTGTATCGTAATTAGATGACTGTCCACTCCATAAGCTTATATAACAAATACTCTTAACTTATGTAAGAATTATTGTATGTTTTGTTACGATAATTCAAAGCATTTATCCTTTTGTCTTCATTTTGTCAATTAATTGATTACTTTTGATGGTAACAATCAAGTGATTCCTGACTATCACTCATTTAAGTCTTGTTTTTAGAGCTTTTTATATAATTTATATTTAATATAATTTTATGAATACTATTATATTCGGCAACTATTTTATTATAAACTACTCTAGAGTTATGTGACAAATCTATTGAACAAACGCTTAATTGTTCTGGCTATAATACAAATTTTTTGTTATTTTAATTTTTTTTTTTTCATTGACTGACAATTTTTAAACTATAAATGTTGTTTTCATAGTTAATCTATCGATCATTTAATTGTTATCATTGTTTTTATGAACGCTATTTTTTCTAATTTGTATGATTACAGTAAATATGTGTAAAATGTGCCAAAAAACTGAATTCAATGTATAATTATTGAGTCAAAACTTTTTATTGTGAATAATATTTATTTATCTATAATTAAAAGTTGACTATTTATTTATATTTATAGATTTGAGTGAGTGAGTGAGAGAGAGAGAGAGAGAGAGAGAGAATAATTGAAAAATTTTTAGTTACAATATATTCTGTAATATATTCTGTATTCTGTAATACTGTACAGTATAAAAATGAGTAAATATTGAAATAATTTAATTTATCATAATTATGCTAAAAAAATTTGCTCAAAATGAGTTAACATAGTGAATATTAGTTTAATACAGTATTAAAGAAAAATACGACCTTGCTAATAACTTAGAATAGTTTGCACGTATACTGCAATGCAAATAAATGAAAGTTGTGATATTAAAATGGGAACAGTATATGGGATATCATGTGATTAGGAATTGAATGTAATGTAAGATTTAATTTCATGAAATGAGAGCTCATTTGATAACTGAATGCCTAAACTATGAAAGCGAAGTGTTTCCCATTACAAGGGAAGTGTCAAATGAAAAGCACTTCACTTCCAGTTCAGCACTACTTTAAAGTTGAACAAAGTTTATACAACTTTAACCAAAATATTTGTTACATTTGATAAACTTATCGTTTGTAACACATATTCATTATCAGTGTTTAGCAACTCATTTAAGACGAGATATATTGGTGTTAATGTCATAATCGATGGCAAACTATCACTCAATTAAATGTCATAAGACTGTGAATGCAAACCATTGAAAAGCATTGCAAACACAGAATCTCTGCAACAAAACATTGAATTCATTGGTTTTACAGCAAAACTATCACTTCATAAATAGTAAACATATTGTGGCGATAGTGTATGAAAGTGCCCTGAGCATAATTCTAATTTTCTAGTTATTCATGTGCTTCTCATGTGACACACTTAGGAACCAATCACTGAAACACACCTTCAGATGACCTCAAATGCTGAGGAATTGACTCCACTGTAAGCATCATATAAAACGTCACACTATTTAGTCGCATGTCATGTAAAAGCATTCACTCTTACGCATACAATGCTCATACAGAGTGTGTGAGAAGTGCGGCAAATATGCGGACAGTATTACTGTTGCATGAATTGTAGGACTGGTTGTGGTATTGACTGGAGAATCGGTCTATTAATACACGCATTGCTCTCACCGTAAGTCACGTAACATTGAAACGCTTGCGAAGTGATCGCACAACACATGCATTGCATTCACATTCACTCCACTCTTACACTCGGCTCTCAATACCCGCGACTCCTATCATGACATCCATTGGACACCAATTGGCCGCCAATTATGTGACAGTCATAGCCATCGCCATATCGTTGCATACCATCACCGCTTCCAACAGCTTAGGGATGTCATCACCGGCACCGGGATGTCGTCCCAGTGATGGCAGTGTCATGAACTGTAAGTATTAGCAGTAAAAGTAGCTAGCTTATATTATTGCACGTATAGTTTGTGCTCATTTTAGCGCTATTTTCCTATTCAATCATATTTCCTATAATTTGTTTTCAACTCAATTTGCCTTCAATTCAATGAAAAGTGTATTTAAATCTAATCTATCAATGAGTTTGTGATTATAAAAGTCAACAAATGTTTGTATGTTTTAAAACCTAATCTATTTTTACGTGACATTAGCTTAACATTCAATCACTCATTCATTACATAATAGATTAGTATTTATTTAATTGTATTTATAGTAAGTGTTAACGAAATGTCCAATTAATAGGTCATTCAATGCATTCAAATAAATAATTGTTTCACCAATTAATTAATTTTTATTTATTGGCACATTTAAACCATAATTAGACCCCCGGTGTGCCCCTGTAATTATATTTTGAGTTATTTAATTTTAAACTTAATTTTAAATATTTTTTGCACAATAAGCATGCTATTTTATGTTTTTAAAATTTAAATTTTTAGCTACCCTGGTACAGTTAAATGAACCCCGTACCTATATAAATAAAACCCCATTATAAACTTGATGATGCAAATGAATCAAAAATTTTAATTGATTTATAATATATAATGTGTTTTTTAGTATGAATTAATTGCTTGAATGTTGTAATAAATATAATTAATTTTATATTAGTTTACGTAATAACTAAGGTTAAGCTTAACAATAATTACATAATATTTAATTAATCTGTGATTTTTGACAATAAACTGCAAAATGGTGTTTGGATTTCAATTGATTACCTCTTTTCTGGTGGTCTTTAATGTGGAGATCATATTCACAACCAATTTGTTATTATAAACATATTTTTAACCATTTATTAATTGATTTGAGAAATTGTTTCGACCGTAAAACACATATGTGTTGCACTTATAGTCTTATATTTCATCGGGCATATTTTTCTAATGTCAAAAATGTTGATATTTTTTACTGTAATTAATTAAAATATATGACAAATATTTTTAGTCATTTAATTATCTGGAAAATAACTTAATGTAGATTTTCCTTATTTATTCGTTATTTTCCCATTTTATCTATAAATACAATTAATTCACTTTTAATTGTTTATGTAAATTTTAGTCATTTCATAACAAGATTTCTATAAATTTATATTTTATTTTATTTTATTTGAGATTTTTTATGTGGAATTTATTGATAATTTTATCGATTCTTGAAATGAATAGCAAATTATAAATATTTTTATGTTTTAACGATAATTCCGTTACTTTTTGCAAACATATGCATAATTGTTAGATAATTAATTGTATTAATCATACAGTATTATACACAGTATTAAAAAACATATAAAATTTTATTATTAAAAATAAAATATCAAAACTGTTTGATTAGCCGAAGACGTGATTGTGTTGAGTTCGTGGCAGTCATTGAAATACTGGACTTCAACCTCAAGCCCTCATTCATCACAAACTATCGATTCTTTAGATGTTTTCAAGTCTAATAATACAAATAATAGGAAATTAATTGCAATTGACTTTTATTCAAATGATGACATCTGTGAGAATGTCTTAGTTTTTGCCGAACTCACGAGTAAAACACTTTACTCATCGGTGATCGACGCCAGCCATCAAAGCATACAATTATCTCAAACGCAACCTTTGCTTCAAATGGATTTTGGATCTCATTTACAATTAGCCGTCGATTCTGTGAATAAGAATATTTATTTATCTTTATATAACTTCTCGCGAATCGATGTCTTGGATATCGAGACAAAAGTGATAAAAATCTTTTTGAATAATATCTCACATCCGGTGGACATTGCGATCGACAGCTCGCAACAAATGCTGTTTTGGGTCGAGAACTGGACGTGTATTTCGCAGACGTCCTTAACTCAAGTGAATGTCATGAGGATGTGCTCAACCAATGTCCGGGCCATAGCNTATGTTTTAAAACCTAATCTATTTTTACGTGACATTAGCTTAACATTCAATCACTCATTCATTACATAATAGATTAGTATTTATTTAATTGTATTTATAGTAAGTGTTAACGAAATGTCCAATTAATGGGTCATTCAATGCATTCAAATAAATAATTGTTTCACCAATTAATTAAAATTTATTTATTGACACATTTAAATAATAAACCATAATTAGACCCCCTGTGTGCCCCCGTAATTATATTTTGAGTTATTTAATTTTAAACTTAATTTAAAATATTTTTTGCACAATAAGCACGCTATTTTATGTTTTTAAAATTTAAATTTTTAGCTACCCTGGTACAGTTAAATGAATTCCGTACCTCCTATATAAATAAAACCCCATTAAAAACATTATGATGCAAATGAATCAAAAATTTTTAATTGATTTATAATATATAATCTGTTTTTTAGTATGAATTAATTGCTTGAATGTTGTAATAAATGTAATTAATTTTATATTAGTTTACGTAATAACTAAGGTTAAGCTTAACAATAATTACATAATATTTAATTAATCTGTGATTTTTGACAATAAACTGCAAAATGGTGTTTGGATTTCAATTGATTACCTCTTTTCTGGTGGTCTTTAATGTGGAGATCATATTCACAACCAATTTGTTATTTATAAACATATTTTTAACCATTTATTAATTGATTTGAGAAATTGTTTCGACCGTAAAACACATATGTGTTGCACTTATAGTCTTATATTTCACCGGGCAAAATATTTTTCTAATGTCAAAAATGTTGATATTTTTACTGTAATTAATTAAAATATATGAAAAATATTTTTAGTCATTTATTATCTGGAAAATAACTGAATGTAGATTTTCCTTATTTATTCGTTAATTTCCCATTTTATCTATAAATATAATTAATTCACTTTTAATTGTTTATGTAAATTTTGGTGATTTCATAACAAGATTATTCTATAAATTTATATTTAATTTTATTTTATTTGAGATTTTTTATGTGGAATTTATTGATAAGTTTATCGATTCTTGAAATGAATAGCAAATTATAAATATTTTTATGTTTTGACGATAATTCCGTTACTTTTTGCAAACATATGCATAATTGTTAGATAATTAATTGTATTAATTATACGGTATTATAAAACATATAAAATTTTATTATTCAAAATAAAATATGAAAACTGTTTTATTAGCCGAAGACGTGATTGTGTTGAGTTCGTGGCAGTCATTGAAATACTGGACTTCAACCTCAAGCCCTCATTCATCACAAACTATCGATTCTTTAGATGTTTTGAAGTCTAATAATACAAATAATAGGAAATTAATTGCAATTGACTTTTATTCAAATGAAGACATCTGTGAGAATGTCTTAGTTTTTGCCGAACTCACGAGTAAAACACTTTACTCATCGGTGATCGACGCCAGCCATCAAAGCATACAATTATCTCAAACGCAACCTTTGCTTCAAATGGATTTTG